GTAAGGCACTTGTTACTACTAGCGATGCACTTGTTCCTAATAGCTTCTTGTTACTACTAGTAAGGCACTTGTTACTACTAGCCGAACGATTGGCCTATGTTTAGTCTGTCCATGTTGGCTCCACCTGCTGCATCCTGACCCGCCTGAGATCGCACGATCAAGTTGATGGCCAGCAAGTCACACTCCTGGCGCTTTTGATTGCACTCTCGACGGCGAACAGTGGTTCTCAACAGACGTAACAGCAAGGGCCACACCACTAAGAAGCTGGGTGGGGCTTTCTTCCAAGTTGCTAATCCCAAAACAGGATGAGAGGTCCACACGCTTGGTACAAGAAAACAGCGCTCCCCACGAGTGTCACCTGCCATGCTTACCAACTCATCGACTACAAGCATTGCTCAACAACCAACTTAGAATCCTATAGGACCAAGCAAGATAGAGGGTGTTGTCCTGCAAACTCAGGAAATTGGATATCTATCTTCTTTTCCGGGTCACCCGACACCTGCGACAAATTGAGCATGGTCTCCTCTTGCAAATGCACGGGGCTGGAAATCATTTCCACCAGAATCTGGGCACGTGCAAGCGCCACGGCACGTTTTTTCGTCTGCAAAGAACATGTTTAGACTAGACTCTAAGACACGATTGACCCCCCAAAAGTTCACCATTGGACGGCGGCCAGGATTTGGGATTGGAATAGGGAGTTGGGAATTGGCGAAAGCTGAGTGAAAGGAATCAACATGATTTTGTTTGATTTGGGATTGTCGGAATAGATGAGTTGGGAATTGGTGAAGGGGAAATGAAGGGGAGTAGAGAGTTGGGAACTGGCGAACCCAAATCAAACAACAAATCACAGCAAAACAAAATTAGGATACATCGAAAAGGAATATAATGTGTTCAAAAGAGACTTCATTCACGGTAGTGTATTGATCAATAATGGGAATAGAACAAAGATCTCAAACAATTATGTTCTATAATAATATTCTATGGATTATTCTCTATGACATTGGCGCACATATGTTCATGTAGATGTCTAAATGGATAGGATAGAGACAGTTGTCCCATTCTTGCAGATTCTTTCATGGAAATCACCTTTCCATTGGCTGGGCATCACTTTCTGAACCGCCAAAAGCTTTGCCTGTGGCAACGAAGCTGGCCGTCTTGGTTGTTATCCAGAATGGGAATTCAGTCCAAATCCCCAGTCTGAAGCTTGCACACATTCTGAATCACGCATTCAAGGAGCATGGAAGACCGACAGGAGCTCTTCCATCCAGCCTCCACACCCCCACAAGATACCGAGAAAACGTCAAGTTGTCGACATCGAAACCGGGACATGGCCCTGCTTGGGTGGGCAGGAGTTGTGCTGGGATATATCACTCTGGGCCTTTGCAGCCTAAAGCCTTCCAATGACCCGAACCCGTGACATTGATGTCTGGAGCTTCCCAGCCATCCTGGTACACACTTCACACAACCTGCAACTTCTTTCAGCTCCGGAACATCTCCACTTATGTCCACCCTCAAAGGAACCATGGTCCATGACCCTCCGGAGCCACCGCCCGCAACGATCCCCTCCGCATCACCTCCCATCCGCCACCTTCAGTCTTCTGTCCCATCACCTCGTTGCTGAAGGCGCACATGCGTCCGAAACTGAAGGTCTCAGCACCCTTCTCCACCTTCTCGCCCTTCTCACCCTCTTCACCTCGAGGTATTTTTTGGGCGGTGAACTGGTCAAAGAGGGTTTGTTCTGCTGGGAAGCCGAGACGAAACAACCACACCATGAGGGCAACCGAAGCTTTTGTGTCTTTATTTAGATGTTTGGGATCGAACATGCATCGGCTGCTCGATGTGTGATCCAAGGACATCTGGGATGGATATTATGGTCGGTTGCCCTGGTCCATCAGGCTTCAGAACAGCATCTTACCTATACTATAGAACACCGCACGCAATCGATATCCTCCCGTATAGACACGCAAAACAGGTCTCATTCTGATGCAAGATTCCACCTTCCTCCGCTTCCTCATCCTCACCATGATCCTCTGAGGCAGACTTCTGCACTGCAGCCCAATCTTCCTGGCCGACGAGCAAGGTCATTTGGTCGCACGAGGCATCTGAAATCCGTCACCAACTGTATGCACTTGAGAAAGGCCACCTGGACACCTAAAGTCATCAATTATATCATTATATCAACCCGCCATTGACCGCCCAGAAATCTCAGTTGCCTTGATCACTCGCAAGCGCTCGCCATAGGTGTCGCCCACGAACCTGCCGATGGGCCGGCGCTGCAACATGAGACTGGTGTACCACTCTCTCCCTAATATTCCAGCATTGGTTTCGTGCGTGAAGACTTGTAAAAGGACTTGAAGCCCATCCAGGTGTGTCCCTGATTGTGGACTTCTGCCCGTCACACCAACGTTGGGCCCAGCTGCTTGTAGCACGAGCCGCAGTAACTCAACATTTGTCGCCACGCGGCAGCAGTGCCCGGAGGGAGGTTGGGCCTCGAAAAGATACAACTCGCATCCTGCTTTTCATTTGAGTGAAGAACTTCAGCAGTCCATCCAACATCCTGTCAATCCACCCTTAAGTCACTAGACAGCGAGTGGTTGAGTGAAGAATTACAAGCTACGCAAATAACAAACATCAATATAGTATAATATATATATATATTACATACACACACACACATATATATATATATAAAAATACAAGTGTTATAACTCATGCCATCGGGCATGCGAGTTTTTCCTGTGACACTTGGATTGGTCACCCGACGGGAAGAGATGTCGTCCTTCGCTTTGAAAATGTCCCATTCATCGCCAGGTGGCACATTGACCGTAAGCAGTTCGATGAATGCTTCAGTGAACGCTTCCACACGACGCTCCAGGATCTCGTTCCCCAAGTGCCTTGGAGTCGGCTGCGAAGCCCACGTGGCAGGGTGGTCAGGTACGGGGCATTGTAATAATGACAGGTCCTGATTGGGAAGGTTATGGAAGGCTTTTTCCATCTTTTTCCGATAAGAAGTCGTTTCATCTCGTTTCAGCTTCTTCCTCGTTCTGGATGCTTGAATATGCTTGAAAACCACACATGTTCCATCATTGTCCGCAAGCAGCTGGAATGCTTCCATCCCCAACTGCAAAGCGATCCCCGACCCCAAGCTCTGTGAAGCACATGTTAGCACCACCCACCAAATCTTTGTCTCTTGAAGCCAGTAACAAGAAGCTACTAGTAGCCAGGACGCTAGGTGGAGGCCATCGCTATTAGGTTGGAGGCCATCGCTACTGGTAACAAGAAGCTACTAGTAGCTATTAGGTTGGAGGCTACGTAGTCTCTTCGATCCCAACTCACCAGTGTCACCGCCACCTGTGCTTCCAAGGAACTTGAAGGCCAAGGTTTCCACATAGATCTTCAGCTCATTTTCATTGTCAGCCTTCTCCAGCAACAACCGGAAGCAATTGAAAAAGCGCAAGGACACCACGGCTCGCGGAGTTGTGAAGCTGTCCTCGCGGAGTTGTTGGTGCCAGGAAACTCAGGGGATGTTTCCAGATTAAACTGCAATCAGCATTTAGACCGTTAAGTCATTGGATGATCTCCTTGCCATGCCAAAGAAAGCAACATTTGCCAAGCCAAAAAGATCAAAAAGGCGTCCTCTGAACATCCCGTTTCATCCATTTTGTTGGTGAACATCTTGTGAAGCAACCGCAGTTCCTCCACTCCTCCCCCCCCCCCCACAGCCCGCCCACGGGCACCCCATGGGTGGTCCTTGATGGCCACCAAGGCTTGAATCTTCGTGCCGTAGATGGCATCTCCCACAGCCTCTCGGTCATGGCCCATGGCGCCCAAGAGCATGTCAAAGCTCTGCCGGAGAACGTTCACCTCGGTGGAAGACCTGAAGCGCCAAAACGCTCGACCGCGGCGCGGCCACGTGAACGCACGCGTGGACGGAGGCCGAACTCAGCGTTCGCGGCGGCCCTCGGAGTCCGAAACACACCCCAAAGGACTCCTGAGGACACCCTGAATGGATCGAGAGTCTGAACAAGACCCCTTGAATTCGCATGGCTTTGCAGAGGATGCATCCAACCAAACCGAACAAAATCAAGGAAGAGTCTGCAAATCGACCTCCCAAAACCAAATGGTTTTGGTTTTCAGCAGCAGCGGCTGGCCACACCCACCGCCCAAAACCGCTGAAGGGGCCGCGCACGGCCACGGTGCTAGGCCCGCTGGGCTTCCCTGCAAGGTGAGGTTCCTCATGGTTTCTCCGAAGTTGGAGTTTTGCCCCGCCGAGGATGGAGCTGGCACGGACGTCGACCGTTTTTCGGCACTGATGAAGTGAAAGAGTGACAACCTTCTATTATCTTCTATTCTACCTGCTGGACCCTTCAAAAACACTTGAAAACCTGGTCGTTTTTGGACCTAGACTGGGTCCCAGTCGCCGCCCGACAACGACGCGGTCCCAGTCACGACCGGCGGTCCTCACCTTTGGAGCCGACGTCGTCGTCCAAATTGTCAAAGTCGGTGTCGCGCCGTTCATCCTGTGGGCACCGGTGCGATGCGACGGAGAAGCACACGAGATGGTTTCAAGAATTGAGGGATTCCGCAGAATCAGGCGTTGTTGCGGGAAAAGGGCCATGAATGGCCATGAAACATCAAGATCATCAAGACTTGCACCCGGATGTTGTCTGGTCGGACCGTTTCCACATGTTTCCACGGTACAATGCATGGCTTGGGCAATCAATGCCATGGATCCTCCACGCGTACAAACGGTATTGTATGGTCTTGCTCCTGTTTGCTGTTGCCGTGGTGGTGATTGTCATTGTTGATGTGGTTGTGGCTGTTATTGATAGAGCCGATGTCATGTTCTTTTGATGTTGTGTTATTTTTGCTGCTGTTCGAGGCGTTCTTCTGCTGCTGTTCCTCAATCTTGTCGTGCGTCTTTGTCTTGCTGTTGAACTACAGGCGGCTCAAGAGTGTGTTAAAACTGCTCAGGGTGCTCCAGGTGTGCAGTACTTTCTACAAAGCTTTTGGAAAAACATTTTCAATGTGATGTTCATTCCAGCATGGTTTAACTAAGGGTGACCCCTGCAAATCACAACTTGTACGAGCTGGGTAAACCCGGGTGGACCTATCAGTGCCGCTGTTGTTCAGGTCACTTGCTGTTCCAATAAATGATGTTTGCTTCGGACCTTGTCTTCTCCACTGGCTGCCTTGAATTCATTTGGCCAACACCTGCCACAAGTCCTTCCTACAAGAAGCAAGTTCAAAAATCATCCATTTCCGCCCAGGCACGTCTCACAAATGACCCAGAATTCCATACTAAGTGCTTGACCGTTCGTAAGCATTACCAGGACCTGGATACTAAAGAAGAGTTTGGTAGAATTTACCAATACCTCTTGGATATTGCTTTTGCACGAATGTCAAAATTGGATGAAACCAAAAGGGTCCCGCCCTTACACGCCGCAGACGGGGCCCTGTCAACCAGTGCCGTAGATGCATTTCAAAATCAGATAGCCAAACTCACAACTTGGCAATCCCGTGGGCCACAATATGCTTTACCACCTGAACCACATAGAGTTGTGTTTTGGTGTTGCACCTGGGGTACAAACCTGTGTTACCTCGTGTGGCAATTTTGTACCAAGTTGTCATGGCCGGATCCCTCGGCACCTAGCCTTCCGGATGACCCGGGTATATCTTCGACGGAGCTTGCCATCTCATTCATGTTGTGGTTGAATCGCATGCTCCCCGTGCGGCTCAAAGATGGATCGCAAAATGTGACACTCGACTACGATGATCAAAAGGTTCAATTGTTGCCGCTTAAGTTGCGTTCGCTCCGGGTATTAGCAGAACGCTTTCGTTGGATTGTCAAGCATATTAATACATTTTCACGATCGAATATAGTCCCGTCCTACAAAAAACAAGGAACGTCTAGTTTAACTCGTCTTCGCTTCACAAATTATCATGAAGGAGGCATTTCTCGCCGCCCCACCCTGAATGCCGATCCGATAGGACGTATGGATACATACACCAGATGCTTAAGTCCATGCCTCATGACCCGCCATTCCATACAGAGATCGTTGCACCATCATTACCTGCGGAGCTTTCCACACCCGAGTGGCCTGCACTCCCAGAGGTGCCGTCTATTAAGCAGGACGCCTTTATCCAACATGTTCGTTATGCCTTGTTTCGGAAAAAGCACTTCGATACGATAGTGCATCCTGGCCCCTCCTAAATTAGGTGCATCCCGTTGAATTAACAGGGATCCTTCTGGGCTACTCGTCGTCTTGAGACTGTTGTGACAAATGCCGTTCGGTCTCACGCCTCCTTGTTTAGTTGTACAAACCTCTGCTAGCTCGGATCCTCTTTTTCACACCCGACACTTCCACCAACACCCGCCACAAGTGGCAAGGGTATGTGTGGATGCGCATCATGTCCGCAAGTAAGTGCATCCATTTCCGCCCCCTTTATTAAATATATGGATGCTTCGAGGGAGGACGAATATCGAGAAGTGCAAGAATCCCAGTCTCGGTGCAATGCTGCTTCACGAAGCCGCGAAGCTGCTCACCAGAAAGGCGCGCTCTACACTTGCAGGCTATGAGCACAAGTTGAGGTGTAAGACCACCGTCGAGGAGGTTGACTCCAGGCTGTTGGCAGTGATCACAGGAGAAGTTGGTGACCATCGAGGCCTTGAAACCTCTCTCACAGCTGATGACCTTGTACTTGCCCCAGTGTCCCCCAAAAGCCATCATCCTTCGACAGTTGGACCCTGCACCGTCCATCTTTGGAGGAGAACGAGAAGACGGAGAGAAGGAACAGGTGACCTCATGTACCCCGGCCAATCGCGCTGGTGCACTCCGTGCTTGCTGGGGCGAACGCAAACGTGCTCGCCGACGAGGGCGCTTCGTTTCGATCCTTGCAAAGCCAAGGTGAAGACTTAGCGGCCTTAGCGTCCGAAGAGTTTATCCTCGAATACATAGAGGTCAATGGTGCTGCCTGGTGGGAGATGCAGAACAGGGAGGGGATCCTAGCGAAGAATGGAGTGGAAAGCGTGGTTTGCACCCTCAGGAAGGAAGTTCCATAGAAGGCCTGAAAGTCGAGGGCTTCGGAATGCCACTGAGGCTACGAAGTTCCTCTTTCGGTTCCTGTCAGTGTGGAACTCAGCGACAGCAACCGTATGACCAAACCACCAGGTTGTTAGATCTCCACACGGATGAGACTCGCAGCATGCTCCGTTCTCCACAAGTGTGGTCTGCCGATCAACGCAGGCAAACCAAGCAGTGAGGCGCTGCTTGGTTCGTGAGAACAAAGGCCTACAGGTCCGGAGGAGTGCCATCTCAGGAGAAAGGAACAGGCGTACTAGGCGTACCATCTCACTTGACAAAGGCACCTCACCTTTCACAAAAAGAAAACGTGCTCTGAACGCAAAGCACTGAGAACAAGGTCTTCATTTTGAGGGTATGCAAAGCCCCACTATTTCCATCTCTCTCCTACTGGTCAAACCTGAATCTATACGGGTCTATCCTATTACCTGTAACAGTGGATAATGATGGTTAGGTTGCAGGCCTAGTTCAAAAACAGCCAAAAATTGTTTACTGACTTTTACAGTTAAGAACGGACAAAGGACAAACCCCATCTATACGCTTGGTCCAGTGATAGCCATCGTCACACCCCGTGCTCGCACCTCCACAGCTGCTTCGGATGCCTCGGAGGCCAGCTCGTCCGCCTCTTCCAAGGGTCGCATCTCGGTCTTCTCTCGCTCCTGGTCCTGTCAAGTCGGACGAAAAGCATGGTTTACAACATGTTATACATGCATATAGTAATTATACTAGCTAGTATCTGATTCATAATTACCTCCAAATGAACGTTCATTTGCAGTAGTACATTTGTTATGACCGAATTCGGGGGGAAGAATTCGGGGATTGAAGGTGTGCACTGAGGTACTTCACCCGTCAAACGTACGTTGTATTGACCCGTTGCACCCATTGCATATGGCCATCGGAACACCCAGGCACCCACCTCCCATTGCGTCGTCACTGCTTCGAGCCACGCCCACAACATAGATAGCGTGTCTTATTGCTTGGCGGTTCCACACCATGCAACTTTGTCCCCTGTGTCAATGCCCTATATAAGGCAAAACTGTAGATGGTTCCCTTGGTACAGTTCGTCCTAGTTCAATTCCTCCCTCCGGCCTCAGCCATGTCTCGGCAAGGGGCGCAAAGGCTTTTGGGAGCAAGGATTGTCACTTCGCTGAGCTACTTCAAACAAATGTCTGCGGACGAGACCAGTTTGCAGAAAGCGCTTACCTTGTCCAACTCGCTGTGAGTCACCAATGCCAACCCCCCAAATGTTCCTGGATGTTCCTGGCAATCAAATGACTATTATACAATCCGTGGATTGAGATGCCCCGCCCCTTCTTAGTAACATGCACAGGTGAGAACACGGGCCATACAACAGCCAGGCCAACACCGGTCAAGCAATTTGAATGATGCGAATCTCTGAATAACAATCAGCCTCTATTCATCAATCTTCAGCAAAGGCCACACCTCAGCAGCCAGCTGTCTTGCCCACTTGACATTTTTAAGAGCCAGGACATGCGGCACTTTTACGCAGCTCCGAAGATCAGCCTGTTGACGTGGAGCGCCTGCCTTTTAAACTCTCCTGTAGCTCGTGAAGTAATCCATTCTTCAGACCACTCAAGACTCAAGGAAGTGCCGCACTTGACACAAACGCACGCAGGGACTTGATCTCATGTTGGCGGCTGGCGCCATCATCTGCTCGAATCCGCGTGGAGATGCCGTTCAAACCCTGAGATGCCGTACAGTACAGCATCCGGCCGGCTTATCGCATCGCTTCGCCTGTCTGGCGAAGACTGACGACGACCTGGTAGGATCTGGATCTCCACGAAATATATAATCCGTTTAACATAGTTTAACGAATGCATATATCTCTACCGTCTATACCCCATTCACTACCCCATTCATCGTATTCATCCTGGCGTGGATTGCTTCGACTCGCATCTGGGCATTCTGGTGGGGGCGCCTGTGCAACATGAAGTTCAGGTCATTTCAGGAGTTTTCTGAATGAAAGCATCATGGGCACTATCATGGGCCCAAACGAACCGTAAACAGCTGAACATTTCCTTTTTGCAAACAACCCACAAAATCCTAGCCCTGCATTCCTTGACATTGACCAACTGGTGATGCAGGCGCAAATGTTCGGTCTTCTCACACTAGCGCGACAGGTCGTGGGTCTTGACTTCTCGCAAAGGATGCTTGCTGATGCCTTGAAAGGTGGCGCAAGCACCGGTGCGTTCAATCAACCTGACCCTGACAAGTGAAAGGTTTCAGTGCGAACAAACCGACCGACGGGCACCACGCAGTCCAAATCGGGGCCTCTATTCCTCAACATGCTTTGGATTCTGGGCCGATCCATCCTTGTTCGTGGCGCCGGAGTGGTGGCTGATTGTCGCAACTCAAAAACGACTTCGGACACGCTACCTGAACCGATGGCCCAGATGGCGATCTGGGCTTCAGAAAGGCAACGCCTTCAAACATCACAAACTGAACAAGACCTCCTGCCGGCCTCTGCCAGCCTGTGATCCGATGGCCAAATCCGAGGCCAGTTTTCCTCCTTCGGAGGTCAGCCCAAGAAAAGACGCTGAAAGTTACAAACCAAAACTTCAAATCCTGATGGCAAGCGTGAGGCGGGTGTGGGACTCAGCACGCGTGACAAAAAGAATGTCAATTTGGATGTTTTTCTTTCACTGGTGCTCTCACCGAGTCCCGAAGTTGCTACTAAACTGGGAACAACTCGACAAATATTTCCATGTAAAACGTGTAAACTCAGCATAGGGAGCATGGACAGTTGCGATATGAGCTAAGCAGCTTGGCACAATCCATGCCCTTCAAGAAATAGGCCTTGCATGGCTATGCATCATGAAAGCGTCGGTTGGAATCCAAAACCAGACCCAGAACTGCTGCGCTGCCGGGCATTCCAGCGGACTCCCTGGATGAGTAGAATGCTGTCAGGATGCCCTATGTGTTGGCAGCAAATTCCACTCGTTGCCTGTTCCCGCTCCCCTGTCCGAGTGTACACCCGATCAGGCGGAGTGGTTTCTCAACGCCGAAAGAAGCAGGAAATCCATGTTTCTCTGCATCTCTGGAGGTGAGTGCCTCCTCAGGTGAAGTGCATCGAATTCAGTGGTATTGTTTCAGGTAACGAAGAAATCGACGTCAAAGCACGAGATCTCGCATCCCAACACCACTGGTGGTGGTGGTGGGGATGGGATTGACAACACTTACTAGCTACGGAGCCGTGTTGTTCAAATGATGAACCTGCTGATTTTGCAACTTTCAGGAATCGTCACGGATACAACAGTACACTACACAGCAAACACATACGGTACAGTTGTAGTACACGCATTGATGCTTACATTTTACATGTTTTCTTTTGTTCATCACCTCTTTCCCTTCAACGCCTCCTGTGGCCATGGCAAGGAATCCTCAAGAACAAAACCAGAACATCATCCACAATGAGACTTTAGAGGAAACACTTCAGGAAAGAGGTCGAGTCGGCTCCAAAATGATGAAAAAAATCCTGCACCAACTGAGGTGCCTGAGGCATCTACCTCGACATCAGCTGGTGCGGGAGTTCTTCCATCAACGCTAGGGAGCATGCCCGCTCTCAATAGCGACTTTGATGAATTGGAAGGGAACTGGCCTGGACGGCATGTCAGTGTTCGAAACCTAAATTAAATTTTGGCCTCACGGCCAGTGTGGGCTGGAATCCAAAAATGCACACACACACACACACCTCGCTTTCTCCCGAAGAATGTGATGAAACTTGGCCCGGTCAATGTGATGGACTTGCGCAGTTCAGTGTTGTCATTTTTACGAATGGCTATGGCTTTAGCAGAAAGTATGATACGTGGCTATGTCAGGAGAGGTTGGAGGAGTACTGGTTCTATGGTGGTTCATTCCTTGCAGCAGTTCCAAAAAGTAGACCAGTTCTATGTTAATAGCTTCCATGTTGGGGTGTTTTTTGCTTATGCGCATGTCACCTGTTTAAGTGCATCATTACTTCCATGTCTGCTAGAGTGTAACTCTAATGTCGTTCTTAAGCTTTACTCAGCAATACGCACATTAACTTGGAAGATCCCAGCCACAAGTACCACATGAAAGATCTATTCCGAAGCTTCAATAGCTTCGCGATAGCTGCGCCCAAATCTATATGTATTCATCCTGGTACCCTGGAACCACAAACCAACATTCAGGGGACTATGATGAGGAGCCCCACAACCACAACGGGTACCAGGGATTTACTGGGCGTGCCACTCAGTTGTCATCATTCTTGCCACTGCTGTGGTGGCTGCTGCTCCTTGGAGATTCTGTGATTGAAGCGTCAGTATTGGAGTATTGGAGGGGAGGACTTCTAGGAGGACTTCTACTAGGCGGGCGATTGTTTACGAATGCTCGGAGGGGGAGAGGGCTCCTGCTAGTTTCGAGTAGATCCGCCAAAAGCAAAGCACCAAGCACATGTTTGTTTGCCTCGCAGAATCTTCATAATCTTTATATCCACCTCCCGGAATCCCAAACGCTGGACTTCAAATCGCCCGGTTGACTCTTCGGTCGACTCTTCGCCGAGCTTCGTATCTTGATCGCTGTTCAAGCCAGTGCTGACAGAACCGGCTCCACCCTTCTTTCCGCTGCCCAGCATCTTGTGCAGCGACTTCTGAATCCTCGGGTCTACCCGGACTGCCCGGCACTGTGCCAGTCTGATTGCATGTTCATGTGGTTTGATCGCTGGCACTGCTGGTTGCCATTCTTCCTTGGATTGCAAGTACCCTGACAGCGCCCAAACCCATGGGACCAGTACAAATCGCAAAAATTTGTTACGTTGTGAGGTTTTGTTTTGGAAAATGTGTGGTTGTGCGATGACGGCCTAAGTCAATCATTTGGTGGTTTGGTGGGTCAACAAAAATGTGGATGGTGTATGTAGTTCACGGTGGGACCCACGACAAGTAGCTAGAAATGAACAAAAAACATCTGGGAAACATTGGGAAACCGTAGCATCTATAGAACAGAACCTGAACGAACATGTTGGCCAATGCATTGAGTGTACTTTCTCTGGGGTGGTTTGCCATTGTCATGGCAATATGTGTGTGTGCCACTGTGTGTGCCTATTGATGTCCCACACCACCCAACATGGCCGATGGCAATTGTGTACCGCTCAACAAACTTGCAAGCTGGGCGGCGTCTTCTGGATGGTCCTGCCCACACCAGCGAACGTGAGGCCTCCACCCTCTCACAACATCGGACAGCATCCGCCTTGGCGGAAACCTGGGATCTCCAGCCTTTAGTCGGCAAATATCTCACCAACCACGAGAACAACAACATACAAACAAATATTTTTCATTTTTGGGAACTCTTTGTTCTCTTCATGGCGCGAGGCCATCGCAAGTAGGTTGGAGGCCACCACTAGTAGGTTGGAGGCCATGACTCGCTAGTAGGTTGGAGGCCATCGCTGTAGTAGGTCGGAGGCCATCGCTGGTTGGAGGCCATCGATATAGTAGGTCGGAGGCCATCGCTAGTAGGTCGGAGGCCATCGCTAGTAGGTCGGAGGCCATTCGCTATAGGTTGGAGGCCATCGCTAGCAGGTTGGAGGCCATCGCTAGCAGGTTGGAGGCCATCGCAAGTAGGTCGGAGGCCATCGCTAGTAGGTTAGAGGCCATCGCTATAGCCTAGAGGCCATCGGTAGTAGTATAGAGGCCATCGCTAGCAGGTTTTCGTGGCCATCGCTAGTAGGTCAGAGGCCATCGCTAGTAGGTTCGAGGCCATCGCTAGTAGGTTATAGCCATCGCTAGTAGGATATAGAGGCCATCGCTAGTAGGTTGTAAGGCCGTCCCTTGTAGGTTATAGAGGCCGCTAGTGGATTAGAGGCCATCGCCAGTAGTAGGTTAGAGGCCATCGCTAGTAGGTTAGAGGCCACCGCTGGTAGGTTAAAGGCCATCGCTCGTAGGTTGGAGGCCATCGCTAGAAGGTTAGAGGCCATCTAGTTTCAGGCTACGGAGGGTCAGTTGTTCATGCGAAGCATAGGCCTGTGCAAGTTCCCTCGACCAAAGATGATCCTGATCGAGCAGGTTGCAGGCTTCCATGCACACCGTCATCGAATGTGGATTGAGAAGGCTCTTTGGTTTGCACTCTACCAAATGAGGTTCTCACATGTCATTGAATTGGGGAATGTGATGGTCACAAGGAGACCCCGTTGCCTATTTCATCCATGGCGATGATGTGCAATTCCCTGCATCTCCTCCTGGATGTGGATAGAACTGTGACCTTGGCTGATTTCGACGGCCGAGGAGATTCTGACTCGCTCGATAGCCTGATCTGGCTCTACAGCATGCTCGCAACATTCCCTTGGAGCGCAAGACCAAGCACCAGCGCAGATGCTCTGCTGCATTTGACCAGAACGGTTCTTGCCAAATTCACCCCTTCTGAACGCCGACTCTTGATTCGTGAAGTCGCGGGTGCCTTTCAGACCCGGAGCCAACAAGCTGTTTGGGACGACCAGGTCACTCCCAATTGTCCTTGGTGCGGCCAGGAAGACACCAAGTATCATCGATACTTCTCATGTACGGCTACCCAGCCAATTCGTGACAAATTTTCCACCTTGTGCTGACCACCCTCCAGGAGGTGGATACGCTTTTGCCGGAACTACCTGTCATTTTTGAGAATGTAGATGAGGAATTTCCATTCACTTTTCAGTTTGCGATCCAAGAGCGTCCTTTGCATGGACCTTTGCTACAGTCCTTGCTTCAGGGGATTACGGCGGATAGTCCACTGCATATATACGCTGATGGCAGCTGCCAGTACTCTGCTTTGCCCACCCTGCGGTTGCTGGGTACAGTGTTGTGCTTGACTCCTGTTGTAGTGACCAGGAAAGCATTTGGCATGCCCAGCGATTCAAGGAAACGGGTCAAGTCCCCTCCATGTGGTGATTCAAGAACTCTGTCCACAGGAACAGCAAATTCACCATGCCGAACTGTTAGCCATCATTCAAGCACAGGAAAGTTTCAGTCATGCCATCATTCATTCGGACTCGGCTAGTGCGATTGCCACGTTTCATGCAGCTCCAATGGTGCAGGGTAAGGATTTGCACCGTCATCCATATCCTGACCTGTGCCAGCGTATAGCTGACCTTCCCTTTCGTGATTGTAATCGGGTAGTAAAGATTAAGGGCCATGTCTCTCCCGCCATGTTGTCGGACTTGCAATGTTATCATGCCTTGGGCAATGCTGCCGCAGACCAGGCGGCTGAGGCTGCATGTCTTCGGACCCATACGGCCCTGACAGACACTTGGTTAGCCCACGCCCGCCAGGGCCAAGAGGATATTCGTCTCCTGCAGGAATTTTATCAGCTTTCCCTGGCATTGCAGATTCATCGGAAGGAAGTGGAGGCTCACCAACCTGCTTCATTTAATCCTGATGAACCTCACCCGGCTAGACAGGCTTCAGCCTTTTGTGACCTCTTGGGTCGATGGTCAATTCCACATGGATGGAGACTGGATCTGCCTGCGGCAACCGAGCACCATTTCTTTGGCCATTCCTACTGGGGTTCCAGCCTTTTGCTCTGCATATTGTCCTGGCTAAGCGCTTTTGTGTGGCCTCTGGATGATCCTGCATCAGCTCCAGAACACACCAGAGTAGGTGTTTCGTGGATGGAACTTGCGCTGAGCTTTGTGCTTTATGCCAAAGGTTATATCCCGTTGCATAGGCCTGCTGCTACACCCTGCCACACCTTCGCTTGGGCTGGTTCTAAGTCTGAGGCTGCTGCCTTCAATTATACTTGGAATGAATGTGCGGCTCAATTTGCTGGCATGGTCAGTCAGGTGATCTCACTGTGTTGCCAACCTGTTATTCCGGCGCATGTCCGCCGCGCTCGCATTTGTTCCTTATATAGGCAAGGAGCTGGAACGTGTGTCTTTGGATGGTCTCATCGCCCGGAGTTTCCGTGCCAGACTCAAAGTTGCTGAAATCTTGAAGGTTGAGTTCCATCAGCGTGTTCGCCCTTGCTCGTATGATTGGATGCCTGCCATTGATCCTTGCTCTCCGGACACGCCTTGTGCCTTTTCTTGGACGTATCCTCATGAGACGTGGAATGTTTTGCAAAAACGACTGAAGAAGGGCACTTCGTTGGCTAGACATGCGTGACTGGTTGGGCCTTGATGGCTGCTGGTACTACTTCCGGGACTTCCTCTCCCTGGTCTTCCTTTTTGTTTAGTTGGTTCACCTTCAGACCTCGACACTCGGCCCCTTCCCCGCCACCTGTGCCAGGGGGGGCCCCCTCATGCAAGCAAAAGCCATCGCTAGTAGGTTAGAGGCCATCGCTAGTAGGTTAGAGGCCATCGCTGGTAGGTTAGAGGCCATCGCTGGTAGGTTAGAGGCCATCGCT